CCAGAATTGTGGGCTAGATCCCTGGTAGGGAGCGTGTAGTAAGCAGCAGATCAAAGTTTCTCTCTCAGATCAATGTTTTTCTCTCTTTCCCCCTCACTTCTTTTCTAAAAATCAATTTTTAAAAATCTTTAAACCAAAAAAGATAATAAGAGGATACTATGTCCTGGCATTGGAGTCAGAAAAATCTGGGTGTGAATTCCATCTGCATCACTTTCTATGAGAGTGACACTAAACAATTTCTTCAGCTTCTAATGGTCCCATTTTATCATGAGTAAAATGTGATAAGACCTATTTCATAATTAAAAAATCCACAAGCTCAGTAAGACATAAAAGACATGCGATGATATAGTTATTCTCTTTAATGCTCCCTTTGTATTAATGAAAAAGGCTAAAATAGGCCATATATCACCATCAAAAGGCTCCCAAGCCATGGCCTAATGATAACTATGCCAAAGTAATGCTACCTTTTAAAACTTTTAATAATGCTTTACCCTGGCCAGGCATCTGTTGGTTAAAGCACCATCCTGATATGCCAAGGTTCAGGGTTTGATCTCTAATCAGGGCACATACAAGGAAAAAAACAATGAAAGCATCACTAAGTGGAACAACAAATCAATGTTTCTCTATCTCCCTTCCTCTTGATCTCTTAAAAAAAATCAATTTAAAAACAAACAGTGATTTCAAATAATAACATTAATGCTTTAGATCCAGTAGGAGCTATTATAGATTGTTTATATCATATTTTTCCACATTTGATAATCATGCTGCTCTCTCTCCACTTTTTTCTTCCTGTAGAGGCAGGAATCACTACTTTAGAGTTGATTTTTTGAAATACTAAAAAAACAAAACACACACGCGCGCACGCGCGCGCGCACACACACACACACACACACACACACACAAACACACAACACAATTCCAGGCATTTGAAGTTTCTGCCTTCTTGAAAACTTTTCTCTCAGCTTCCCTGAAACAGCTCTCCTAGCTATTTCTAACCAGCATAGCAGCTCCTTAATTTCCTTTGCTAGTGTCTCCTCAATCTCTAAGAGACCTTTCCTTTAGATATTTTCTAGGCCTAATCCCAGATCATATACCTGTTCTCTTATCTATGCACTCTCCTTAAATAGGTTCATGCATAACCTTAGACACTATACAAACACACACACACACACCACTACACACAAACACACACACGATTTTTTATAATGATTTATATACTTTTCTGCTCCCCTCCCTCATAATGATTCATGGACTAAGATGTCTTACAGGCTACTCAGAATTCTTTTTTTATACCTCAAATCTATTCCTTCTCCGGTATTTCCTATCTCAGGCAACAGTACTGCCATCTATTCAGTTAGTTGCTCAAGACCAAAACCTAGGAATCAGCTTCTCTTCACTCCTACATCCAATCCATCTACATCCAATTCAGTCTGCCACCAAGCCTTCCTTATCTGTTACCCAGACCACAGTTAATAGCTTGTATCTCCCTGCTTCCATTCTTATTCCTGCCATCCACTCTCCACCCAGCAGCCAATTTTAAAACAAAACAGATCATGTTGCCACCTCACACAAAATCCTTCTATCACTTCAGACTACATTTATGGTAAAATCTTTCATTGGTCATCTTATTGTTTTTGAAATCTATCCCTCTCTCACCTTACTACCTTCATGCATGCTGTTTCCTCAGCCTGGAATGTTTTCCTACCATATCTTCAAAATCCTTCCAGTTTCAGCTTCAAGATTTCTCCAATCCAATTAAAATTAGGTACTGTTATATCATCACTAGAAGCCTATACTCTTCTTCCCTAGCATTAAAAATATATATATAACTATGTTATGTGCAACTATTTGATTAATGTATGTTTAAGCAGAGTCAGTATGTTTCCCTAATCACTGCATCATTTCACAGTGCCACCGTCATGTGTCCAACACCTAACTCCTTTCACCAATAAATATTTGAAACAGAAAACTCATGAGTCTTGGCCCTAGAATGGCTGCATAATACAAGATATGCCATGGATATTTCCCTTCAGTTGAATTTTTAGGCAAATACTTTTTAAAAATCCAGTGCTAGGCAATGAAAGGAATTCAAGTAGGAGGAAGACAAATTCCCCTAAGAAGTTTCTGGAGTGCCTCTCTTTTTACTTTTTTTATTCTTCAATAGTTCCTAGCACACAGTCAGATCCCTGGTAGTTACTTAAAGCATTTAGTGATCAAAGTACTACATGATAATCAAAGTGCTAAAATTAAATGTCATAAAATTCTACATAATAGGGTTCACTGAAGGCTAGAAGCATTAGAAAAGTGTTTAAGGAGATAGAACTCAATTTAGACAGGGCAAGGAATAACTTTTAGGGATTTGCCCAACTTACGCTATCACCCCTCTCGCCTGCCCTCCTTCAACAGCAGCATGGCCAGATTTGTACTCCTTAACACAAAACACTTCTATAATCCATTTGCTGAATTCTAAGCAAAATTATCTTCAATATGAGATTCTATGCTTAGTTATCATATATTAATAAAACTTTTTTTGGCCATAAAGGACCCGAGTTGTATATGATAAAAACTTACAAAGAATTCATTACTATCTGTTGCATAAATGAAACTTAACATTTTACATGCTACATTCATTTAATAATGTAGGTATTAAGAGGATTAAAATTGAAATCCTAGTGTTTAACTATGTACTTTCTGAAGGACCAATATAAGATCAAAATAATAACTACATTAGCAATTATTTTCCAAGCACTGCACATGGGCCTTTCCGTGCATTTTTCCCTCCTAATATTCAAAATAACCCTGAAAGTTGAAAAAACTGAGGCTGGAAAGCTGGGTGACCTCAAGTACAATACAGCTTACAATACAGGTGTTCTTTTTTTAGACAATGTAAACTGAACCAAAAATGCCAAAACAAACATAAAAAAACCTGTAGTTTTGTAGAACTTCAAATGTTTGGTTACTGGATTTAAAAATAACAAAAACTTTCCTAGGAAGCAAACAAATTCAAGGAATATAGCATCCTTTAATTTGAAAAGTCTTTCTAGATCAGCTGATGTGGTTCTGTGGTTGAGCATTGACCTATGAACCAGGAGGTTATGGTTTGATTCAGGTCAGGGCACATGTCTGGGTTGCAGACACCATCCCCCAGTAGGGGGCGTGCAGAAGGCAGCCAATCAATGGTTCTCTCACATCATTGAAGCTTCAATCTCTCCCTCTCCCTTCCTCTTTGAATTCAATGATATATATACATATACATATACATATACATATACATATACATATACATATACATATATATGCCTTTCTAAAACTCATGGGTAAATATAGAGTGCTTTACTGCCAAACTGCTCAGCTTTGGTGAAATATGCCTGAAATTCACCTGCATTAATATTTTCAATAAAAGTTCTCTAAAGAAAGAAAAATTACCAGCTACATAGCTATTCTACAAAGAATTTTAGTTTTAAAAGGAAAAAAAGTAACAGATTTGAGAGAAATTAGAGTGTTATAAAAAGTCTTTTTCTTCTAATATAACAAAATACCACAACAGAATAGCAGTAGCATTATCCAAAGCTAAATGATGGCAAGCTTCTAATCAATAAGCTGTTAAGGGTTGAGACGTCTATAATTATTTCAAACTGTATGAATGTTACATTATCTAACATTGAGACAAGTAGTTTTGTATGAAACGACTGTATGAGATCAAATAATACATCAAGAAGAAATTACATACTTCTGTATTTAAACTTTCCACACTATGATTTTTTCAATTTGTATGGTACCAACTCTTTGCATTCACAAAATTTCATCAATGTAGCTGAAACCGGTTTGGCTCAGTGGTAAAGAGTCGGTCTGCGGACTGAAAGATCCTGGGTTCGATTCCGCCAAGGGCATGTACATTAGTTGTGGGCACATCCCCGGTAGGGGGTGTGCAGGAGACAGCTGGTCGATGTTTCTTTCTCATCGACGTTTCTAGCTCTCTAACTCTCTCCCTTCCTCTCTGTAAAATATCAATAAAACATATTTTTTTTAAACTTCATCAATGTAATCATTACACATTGTAAAAGCAAACTTCAAGTATTCCCATAAAATAGTTAAATATTGGTTGAATCTCAAAAGCATCAAAGTTATCTCAAAATAAAAATTTTGTACCATCAAGAAATAAAAATCATATGTGGCCATAAAATGTAATTACAGAAACAGTATAGGGATTATTTTCTGTTAACAAAGTATAACCATCTATGCAAGACCCCAGAAAGTTTTTCTGGACTTCCTCCACAGGAAAAAAAAAAAAAAAAAAAAAAAAAAAAAAAAAAAAAAAAAAAAAAAAAACCCAAAACTCACTCCCCCTCAATCTTCTCCTGTGCGCCCCCTCCCCCATCTTATTTTTATAGCCCTCTCCCAAAAGGCTAACATTAAAAATGGATTTATAGCATTATCGAGAACAGCATGTCTCTAAACTTATGATCTTTGCATATTCGAGGTTGCAGGAATTGAGCTTTAATAATTCATGGACCACAAACACGCCCCGTTTAAGATTTTTCCCTCCAACACTAAAGTTCCCACACTCCTGGGATCCCTAATGGGTGTCCATGAGCCATACAACAATACAACCTTTAAAAAGGACACAAATGGTAAGCGTGCTCTCCCGGGATGTCCTCACTTAAACCTCCTGCACGTTCACAACCGTCATTCAGAGAGGCAGTAATGGTTAACCGCGGTGAGAAACCCAGCGGCACTGACATCTATAACTGGACGGGGAAGGTTAAAGGCAGCCTCTCCAGTATCGCTGCAAACTTTTAGGAGATTAAGTTACATTCCCCTGCAATTCCACCCTTGACAGCTGAACGCAGAGATGCCAGCGAGTGGTGCACCTCCGTCCCCGCCACCTCGCCCACCGGCGGAGAGCGGGCGGCCCCATCCCAGGGCCAGCGCTGCCCTGCGGCGGGGAAAGGGGGGCGGGCTGGCGCGAGGGCTGCAGGGGCAGGGCCGGGAGCGCTCACCTTCTCCAGCTCGTCGTGCAGCTCCGCCAGGCTGGGACGGAGCAGCTTCTCGCCCAGCTGCGCCACGGTGTGCCGGTAGTGGTCGATCCTGGGCACGGCGTCCATGGTGTTGTGGCCGAAGGTGCGCTGGTAGTAGGTGTTGGTGTGGGTGTCATAGTAGTAGTGCTGGTGGTGCCCGCTGCCGCCGCCGCCCGAGTGCAGGCTGCTGCCCTCGCTCAGCACCGTGTCCCCTCCGTTCTGGAAACTCACGTTGGGCCCGTCGCCGCCGACCCCCGCCGCCTCCGACTGGCTCTCCTCGGCCGAGGAGGCGGCCGGGTCCACGAAGTTCACGCGGAAGCGGCCCTTGGCTTCCTCGCTGCCTTTGGCCGGCCCGCTCTCGCCGCTGGCTTTCCCATCCACCGAGGTCTCCCTGCTCCCCGCCCCGGCCCCGGCCCCGGCCGCCGCGGCCGCCCGCCCCGCGCTCTCGGACACCACGTCCACCTGGAAGCGGCTCAGGCTCGGGGTGGGCCCCAGCGGTCTGCCCAGCCCGTCCCCGGCCGCCGAGCCGCCCTCGCCGCCGCCCCGGCTAGCGGCCGCAGCATCCTCCGGCGGAGCGGACACGGCCGCGCCGGGCAGGTTCACCCCGGAGGCGGCCGGCGGCGTCTCTCCCACTCGGGCCAGCCTGGGGACGCCGGAGGAGGGCGCCGGAGGCCCCGGATCCATCGCCTCCGACCCGCGGCGGACCGGCGAGCCTGGCGGACTGGGCGGGCTGCACGCCCTCCGCGCCTCGGACCCGCGGCGGCCGCGGTCGCGACACCAGAGGAAGGAGCCGGCTCCCCGCCGCTAGCCCGGGCCGGCGCGGACCCACCGGCAGCCGAGTCTGCGCGAGAGTGCGGCGGGCGCGGGGCGGGCCGCTGTTTAAAGGCTCGGCGGCGCGGCCGCGGCCGTGGCGGCTCCCGCTGCAGCACGCGGGAGGCGGGGCCCGAGCTCCCCTCCCCTCAGCCCGCCCACCGCGGTCCTGCGGTGACGCCCGCCGCCGCTCCCCGCGCGCCCGGCCCTCCGGGGGCGCCGCGCTACCCCCGCGAGAGCGGCCCGCGCGAGGGGTCGCGGCCGGCAGGCCCGCGCCTGGCTTCAGGCGGCACCAGCCACGCGATCGGGGGCGGCCGCGCGCCGCCGGGCCGCCGTCGCCGGGAAGATCTCCGCGCCGCCGCCTCCTCTTCCGTCGTCGCCCTCCTCCCGCCCCTCCGCCTCCTTCCCCCGCCCCGCTCTGCGGAGCTGAGGAGTGGGCCCGCGGCTGTCGCCTGCTCTCCCCGCCTCCCGGGCTGCGGCGCACGGCCCGGCAGCCCGGACCCCGGGCCACCAGGCTGCGGCGGACGGCGCCCGGCACGGCCGGCGGAGAGGCGCCGGGCCCCGCGTCGGCGCACGCGGATCGCGGATCGCGGATCGCGGATCGCGGACGCTCCCGCGGCGGCTCAAGGAGCTCGAGCCCACTGGCTTTTTTTTTTTTTTTTTTTTTTTTTTTTTAAGTTCTCAACTCGCAGTACTCGTGCTGAGCCGGCGAGATCTCGCGAGATGCTGCAGGGCCGCTTCCCCTCAGGCGCGTGGTACCCGCGGCGGTGCAGGACCCGCCGCCCGCCCGAGCTCCTCAGGGTGACGCCGGGGGCGCTCCGGGCCGGGCGGCCGCAGGTGCTTCCGGGTTTGGGGGTGGCCGGCCCGGAGCTCCCGCCGGCGGCGGCCCTCGCCCTAACTCCGGGCCTGAGCCCCGGGGAGGCAGGGTTTCCTCCGCTCACTCACCCGCAGGGCAGCGTCCCATTTGCATAACCTGAGCCTGACACCCGCGGGGATGCCGTGGGTGTGTCCAGACTTCCGAGGACTCCGTTCCTCTAAAAGCTGTGATGTTGGAGGGTGAGAGAAGAGAGATTAGAAATGATAGATACCTTATGGTCTCCGGACCATTTTTTAACTGGCGGCATTTCCAAAACTGCAGAGGAAGTTTTAGAAATGAAAAACGAGAGCGGTAACTAACCGGGGAGTTTCAGCACGACGGTGGCGGTGAAGAGTCCTCTGTTTTCATTTAACACAGAACAGGTCCTCTGCAGGTCTGTTTCCTCTAAGGGAAAACAATTATTTTGCCACTTCCTTAACAGAATCCATTTTAGCCTAAATTCTACCCAGAGCCCTCCATGAAAACATAACAATGAATGATTTCTGCAACCCCTTTCCAGTCACTTGTGTTTATGTGTATTTTTTTTTGTTTGTTTTATCTATCAGAACAAACACCGTCCTTTGCTGAATCCTAGCAGTGTGATCTCAGAGCCGCAGAGTCTGCAGAACCGTTTGAAAAATACAGTCCTGTGAGGGAAGCTGCAACCAGATTGTTTTTAAAAAGTTGTCATAACAGTGACTTTATTTGACCTGCACAACTTTTCATCTCAGTTTATCATCTTCGCTGTGAAGAAGGAGAGAGGAAGGAACCGTCCTTGGGTCATGTAGCTGTAGTTCTTACACACCCTCTTGAGCATTGTAATAGCAGCAGAAAGCCATGAGGCCAGAAAAATCTGGCGGTGCTTTAGGCAGTGCTCCTTCTACTAGGGGACTGCTGCCTTGGTAGCTGACCTGTGTGGTACCTCTTAGCTCCAAAGCTAATTAGATGGCAATACAACATCCTCTGACCTGCACAAATGGTAAGCACCCACTATGAGGTGCTCCGTGTTCTGTGAACCCAGACAGACAATCCCTTCTCTCATGAAGCCCATTGTCTTGGGGAGAGGGAAGGAGGAGAGACAATAAATGATAAATAGGTAAAGTATATAGCATGCTATAGGAATATAGAAATATAGAGCATGCTTTGAGTGCTAAGGAAAGACGACTAGGATATGTATGTGAGATGGAGGTGGTAAAATGTTTCACGGTGTGGCCCCACTGAGAGGGTGACATTTGAGGAAGTGGGTGATGCAACTACCTGGGAAAAGAGTATTCCAAGCAGAGGAAAAGCAAAAGCCCAAAGGTGAGAGCATGCCTGACATGTTCATAGAATTTCATATGGGCCAGCGCGGCTGAAACTGCTTAAGGGATGGGAAGAATAAAAGCCCTTTAGGTCCGAGAGTTCTCAGATTGGGGGTATAACAGATCAAATTGTGTAGGACTTCTAGGCTATTAGAAGGACTTTGACTTGTACCCCTGAGTGGGATAGGCTATTAGTCAACTTGGGCTGCCCTAACAAAATACCATAGACTGGGTGACTTAAACAGAAATTGATTTTCTTGCAGTTTTAAAGTGAGATCAGCATGCCATCATGGCCAGGTTTTGGTGAGGGGTGGGTTGTGAGGGTGCGGGGGGAGAGACACCATTCCATCCCTGGCAGATGGCAATGTATCCTGAGCAGAGGAATGACACCATTTAAATGTATTTAAATAATCAGTCTCGCTGCCTTGTTTTAAACATAGAAGAGAGTAAGTGGTGGGACAAAGGGAAGCAGGGAGATGTGCTAAGAGGTAATACAAAAATGTAGGAAGTGGTGATGTAACTTGACCACAAGTCAAGTAGTAGCAGTGGGAATATTTGGAGAGTGGTTGAATTCTGAGGGGGCAATAGAATTTGCTGATGGATATAGAGTATGAATAAGAAACCAAGGGTTTTGGGTCTTTGCATCTAGGAAAGTGATGTTGCTGTTTTCTTAGATAAGGAGACGGTAAATGGAGCAACCTTGTGCAGTAAGAATACCAGGAGTTCAGTCTGAGATGTCTGTTGGAGAAAATAAATGCCTAGTAATAATAATAATAAACAGTCACTCAAAAATGTGTAAGTGCAAATTGAGAAATTCTAAGACAGGCTCAGCTGGTGTAGCTCAGTTGTTGAGCATTGACTTATGAAGCAGGAGCTCATGCTTAGATTCCAGCTCAGGGCACATGTCCATGTAATGGGCTCTATCCCCATAGGAGGCATGCAGGAGGCAGCCAGTCGGTGATTCTCTCTCGCCGTTGATATTTCTATCCCTGCCTCTCCTGAAATCAATAAAAATATGTATATTTTAAAGTTTTAGGATAGAGAAGAACATGGTACAATGAGAATGTAAAACATAGGGATTAGACTTAGAGAGGAAGTGACTTTTCAGCTGAAGTCTGAAGGTTGATTGGGATTAAATTAATTTGCAGGGGAGTTTCAAAAATGGAAACATTGTGGACAAAAGCCTTCTTGGAGTGAACATGACCTTTCTAGGGAGCTTGAAGCCAGTTTGGTTAAAGCATAGTGATTAAGGGGCAAGAGTGCTAAGAGATTAATGAGTCTGTCTATTCTAAAAGCCCTATGAAACCATTAATGGGTTTCCAGGGAGATAGAAAGGTACGTGATCAGATTTACATTTATTAACAGTCTCTGGTTATTTTGTGGGGAAAAGATTGGAAAGGAGCAAGAATAAGCATGAAAAGATAGGATACAATTTTAGTAATGTAGACATGAGATGATGATAATAATAGTAGCTAACATATTAGGGAACTTAATATCCTGCCTACTGTGCTAAACTCTGCATTCATAATCTTTATTCTTAGAACACTATGAAAAAGATCTTATTATTTCCTCCATTTTACAGATGAAACACTTCGTTAAGAAAGAAAAAGGTTGAATAACTTGTCCCAGGTCACTCAGCCAAAACCAAGATTTGAATCCAGGGTGATTTCTCCACTAATCAAGCTATAGAAGTGTGGATTATAGAGGCTGCCAGGGATCTGGGGAAGGAGAAAATTTGGAAAGATAACTCAGAGAACTTGGAAATGACCTCCTCCATTTCAGGGGACAAATATAATACTTTCAACAATGAGGTTTTAAAAAAAGAAAGAAAGATAGAACTTGGAAAAGGGTTAACACTATGAGGGGAAATAAGGGATAAATTAGTTTTTTAACTTACATTTACCTGGGTTTAAGTGGTGGTGATGTTATAAGAAAAAGAGAAGACATTCTAAAACTAGGTTTGGAGAAAAATAAGAGAAATTTGTTCTTGAGCATACTGGGTTTGAGGTATCTTTGAGTCATCCAAGTGTAAAGGTGAGGAAAATTATTTGACTACATGGGTTTTGAGCTCAAAGGGGAAGTTTGTACTAGTCTAAGAGAGTATGTAATGTGGAAAACTTGTGCAAATAGATAACTGACACCATGGATATGTCGACATAAGAAAAATGCAAACCTATAGATAATTTTTTTACTAGTTTATTGAGCCAATCTGATGACATATGCCAGGGAGCAAGATCTCAAAGGCTCCATAAAATTACAGTTTTGCAGCTTATTTATGCATTTGAAATTAAGGAGGGAATGTAAGGAACATTACATGGAGGAGGAAGAAAGCAAGGCGAGGATTGGATTGCAGGATAGTTCATAAGAAAATGTGCTCTCTTAAGAATGGATGGTGTATTTCAAAAGTGTGTTAATATAGACACACAGAAACAATGGACAGGGCTTGCTTAACGCAAAGATAAACCTTTTACTAAAATAATATATGCCAGGGGCATGACTACCCACCATGACCTGCCCAGTTAGGAATTTATGGTCATATCACCCTGAGAGGTAAATTTCCACAGAACCCCCTTTTTTCACCCACAGACATGAATGAGATCGCTCGGGGCTGGTATGGAGCAGCACCATTCCAGAGAACTTCCTGTGGTGATGGAAGTCCGGCCCTGAATGATAGCCATGAGTCACCTGTGGTGATTGAGCACTTGCAATGCCCAGTG